CATAGAGACAGAAAGCGAGAAATCACCCCCCAGGGGGGATGGTCACGCCGCAATTCCTTCTCCTCCATTCTCCTCTCGGGATCTTGGGCACGCACGCACACGCGCCCGGCGTGAGTTTTAAGCCACCGGGTCCAGGACACGAACCGCGGTCGACTACGTGGGAGTCCAGCGACATAGCCATTACGCTAACTGCTGGTTCCCCTTTTTGTTGTTGATACACAAGACCCAATGCTGCAAGGCAGTATTAGGCTAAAGGAAGCCACATATGTTTATCAGATTTCGCCCCAAAAGATCAGAGAAATTACATGGCACCAGTTGTTTTCACATCTTCAGGTGATTTACATCCTAAAGCAACTAGTTTTGCATTCCATTTTCTGTCCCCCCCCCCTCCCGTTTTTGCCCTTTAAAAGAATAAACCTGAGGCTAGTTACTGGTCACAGTTTTTCTCATTCAGAGAAGTCAGGCCCACCCATCACTTTTCTATACTTGTGTGTCTTTATTTTTATGTTTATTTCTAATCCACAGCCTCCCCACTCAAAATTTGTGTTTAGCTGAGCAGGAACCAGCACTGTTGCACATGATGGTTAAGCCAGTCAGGCTTCTGAATTGTTTGCTAGTGCTTCCATCTCAGTGCTTCCTTGTAAAATCCAGTTTTAGCAAAGAACCTCAATATCTGATCACCCTCCACCATCCTCCAGGTAATGTCTGATTGATAATTCTGGCCTGACTTCAACAAGAATCCTGTTAGGTGGATTTAGCCAGAATCCTTCTTACCCTCAATGTTTTCTCTTGGTAATTTTCCATCCACTGACCCTAATCTACTCTTTGGCTAAACATTCCCAGTCATCCAGACTGTGTTTGGATTTGAACCCAATCTCTTGCCCTTACTGAAAGACCCTGTTCCAGTAGTGCCTATACCTATCATGATTTTCCTGAATGAAGTCTTCCTTATTATATTTTAACAGTATCAGTGAAGGGGCCAGTCTATGGTGTAGCAGTTATGTCACTGGACTCCCACATGACCAACCATGGCTCAAGTCCTGTTCCCAGTGGCTTAAAAATCATGCCTGGCATGTGTACATGCATGCCTAAGATCTCAGGAGAATGGTGGAGAAGGGATTTTGGCATGGCAATTCCCCCTAGGGGTTGATTTCTCACTTTCCCTCTCATTGTCTGTCTCTCACTCTCTGGTAAGCACATATACCCTAAGGCAAGAAAAAAAAATTCTTCTTTAACAACACTGTTTTCTGAAAAAAATTTTTTTTCCAGATTTTCGCTGTAAGGTGTGTATACTCACCAGAGAGAAAGAATCATTGCCCAGGGAGGACAGCCATGCCATAGTCTCTT